CACTGCTTATTACATACACTCACATATGTCTGAGGGAAAATTTCAGAAATCAGGATGACCACGTCCCAAAGCACAAATCTGTCTAATTCCAGTGTTTACAGATGTTATAAATATTCACAGCAGCATTAACCGTGCTGTCTGCCCTTGCGTTAAAATGTCGGACAGTTAGCGCCGACGAATTGGAACTCAGCAGATTCCCCGTGTAAACATGACGACAGTGTGGCGACGTTGCAATTACAGGTTTGGCATTTAACAGGCTGCGACTCTGGGTTACGTGCGATAGTCTTGACAGGAGGACAAAAGCAGGACGAGGACTAACGCACATCAGTGGGAGCTCTGCACCACAAGTCTGCACTGTGGACACATTTTTATGCATCATGAGCACATTTATTTTGAGCGAACTGGCTTACAAATATTGACATGGAGCGCCTAACAAATGTAGTTTGTACCTGTGTGGTGGATTTCCTGTAACACATTTGGATTTTTCAGTGTCCACGTTCTGACTTTTGTAGGATGCAACTTCTACCTGGGTGCTTTACGAGTCAGAGAGAGAGAGAGAGCGGAAAAGTGGGAAGACGAAAAAAAAAAAGAAAAAAGCGGAGAAATCCCCTGCTTTTGACTGCCTCTCTGTCTCTGGGGGAGCTATGGAAAAGCAGATGGAGGGATATGGAAGAGAGAGAGTTGAGCAAAGAGAAGAGGAGGGTGGGGGGAGAAAAACAATAGGCCAAGGAGTCTCTCAGCTCCTCTCTCCCATCAGAACTAGCAGTGTCCAAAGCAGGCATTCCTGGGCTATTATTTGCCTCTCACTGAATCTGATCTGCCACTTTAATTACCTTAGTGTGTGTTTGTGTGTGTGTGTGTGTGTGTGTAAGAGAGAGACAGAGAGAGAGAGAGAGAGCTTGTGTGCATGTGCATGCGTGTGAAAGCAAAGGGGACATGCTTAATTAAAAAACAGAGGTGGGAGCGGCTCTGGCCATTTCTTTTGTTCTTCTGTTATAAGAAGGGGAACTGTTTCTGCGGTGAGGAGAAACCAGGGCTTCATTGTTACTTTCTCACTCTCCCTTTATGTATCTGTCCATCTATCGCTCTCTCTCCAATGGAAGTAGTCTGGTTGGTTAGCAGAGCAAAGGAAACCAGTGGGGGACAGAGAGAGAGAGAGGGAGCGAGAGAGGAAGGTTTCTGAGCGAGCGGTAACATGATCTGCCTTAAAAGAAGCAGTAGTGGGCACCACTGCTGTGAAAGGTGTGAAGCCCGGGGAATGGAGCAAAATGAAAAAGAAGCAAGCCGTATAATCTTTCCATCCATTTACTCTAGAGACGAAAATGTCACGTAATCAGCTTTCACCGAGCTCATTACAAGTTATTATTTAGATCTGCGCAAATCTAACAATTTTGCTCCCTCTGAGCTCAGAAAGGTAGACGAGGAAAAATTCACTTGATTGCAAGACCAGACGTCGCATTGTAATACTCCTCCGTCCAGCCATGCTAAATTGACACATGCTGAATGGATCAGGATGCAAGTGCAAAGAAGTTTGGAAAACATTAAGGACAAGTCACATGTCTTTACCTACTTTGTTTGCCAGTGTTCTGTCGGTGTAGCAGCAGAATGACTGGGTTGAATAAGAACCAGAGGTAACAAATTAATGGACACGTTATTACGTTGTCGTTGGCAGGCGTCGCACGTGTAAACAGCTGCTAACCTGTTAGCATTAGGGGTGATATATCAGTGCCAAGTGCTTAACACGTTGGCTTATCCATAAGACATAATTCCGTACTTAAAGTGTTCGGAGATGCATAATTCATAAACTGCGGTGTTTTATGTCCGAGCTACAATTCAAAGGGGTTGCTCCCCAAATGAAATAAGCAGTCGAGTGACACCACTGACAAGTAGTAAATCCTGTCGTATGCATCGCATTAGCTCTAAAAACCCGCTGCTTCTGAACAGTTTTACACTCAATCACGTTTAACGCAAGCTGCGGAGAGAGGGATGCTGGTGGTAAAATAAAAACTAAATGTATATGTTCGACGGCAGGGGCAAGGCCCGCTGTGTTGTTTTGGTGCAGAGCGTAATGGATGAATTACGGTAGAAAAAAAGAAACTGAGAGAGTGGTAATTTGAGTGGGGCCTTTATTTTATCTTTTTATCCCCCCCTACACAGCCAAATTAATCTTGTTTTATTCTGCTGCCATATAACAGCAATGCAGCTAAAGATGAAGATATATGTTTATGGAGAATCTGTGTCTGTTAATGCCAGTCTGTGCGTTCTTATAGCGTGAGGCATGTTTGGCCTGCTTCAGCTCCTCGCCTGCTCAGAATGCAGAGCTAATTGCCATTGATGTCTTTGCAAGTGTGAGTTAACATGCAGACAGGTGTGCAGCGTAGTTCCTAAAGGTGTCTATGTGTGTGGAGACCGCACTTATGTTTAATATCTCTGATTTCGCTTAAAAATCACTTGACTTAAAAAAAATTGCATGAACCGTAATGCTTGTCTTCTTGCTGTAACAGTCAACTGGTGTTTACTGCATTTGGACAATACAGACACAGGTATATTGGTCATTAAAATTTACAGATTTTCAAGAGACATGAAGTTTTGGCAATTTACCCTCCAAATAGTAAACACCATTGATTGAAATACTTTTGGAATATTAAAAATGTTAAAAGTAGATCAATGTTTTACTCCTAACTTTTCAAAGTGGTGCTCAGAGGACTATTTTGTATTGATACACACAGGCTGAACAGATAAGCATAAAAATTCATTTTCTGCTCCTTGTGAATTTTTCTTTAATCTCGCAAATAGAGACACAGAAACAGAGTGAGACACGAAAGAGAGGGGGGAGAAAAAAAGCATAATTTCTCTCTTTTAATCTATCACTAGTCCCCATGGAATCATCTCCGGGATATGTCAGATTAGACCTGATTATAGCGCGTGCACACACACACATGCACCCACAAACATGCTCACACACATTTGATTTCGTTCCTCACGCTTTTACTGTCCCTCCCACTGGCTTTGTTTAGCCCTGGATTGTTGCGGATTAATCCTCTAATTGCTTTGTAGCTTTGTTGTGATGGCGAGGGAGTGAAGGAAAAGAGAGAGAGAATTAAGCAGCAGGTGGATTGGGTGGAAGGTTAACATGGCTCTTTAAAGCTTTCTTTTAATGCCAGCTCATTTACACGCAAGCATCTGAAAGGCGCTACTACTGTATCAAGTGGAAAGACACTGCCATGCACAACTCGTTTTCATCTGGGGCGTTTAGCTGAGTAAGAAAGCGTTATCCTCTGAGTAGTAATGAAGATTCCATTCTCAATCTTTTAGTCTCTTTATCTTTATATCCCGATGTGGTTGTGTCGCCATTGTTTGTACTTGCTCTCATTCCGGTGATGAGAAATTAAGCCTGAGATTACAAAATGACATGATTTTAGGGGTGTTCTGTGTTTGTGTTTGTGGGTTTAGGAGACTTACTCTACGTTCTGCGAGCGAGTGTGTTTGTGTGTGCCTTTACATTTGTGCCTTGTTGTGAAAAGCCAAGAGATTGGAGTAGTAAGGGGTTGAGAGATGGGCAGCCACCCAGGATTGATAACATCTCACTGGTATTCCAAACATCATTCCTCATGGAAGCTTGTTCTCTCTCTCTCTTTCTTTCCTGTTATGCTCCAGCATGAAGAAAAACATATGGGTGAAATATTCTTTAATTTCCCCATGTATTCCTCCTTGTGACCCTCCCCTTGAATATTTCCCCAGCGGGCAACATTTTGCATTTCCACATGTTCAAGCATAGTCGCGCACTTAGTAGAATGACAATATTCAGTGTCTTACTTCCCTTGTCCACACAGAGACACTCATACCTTAGGGGCATTAATAGGTTAATAGTCGCTGCCTAATTAACAGCTCCTGACTGGTGAGAACATGCCAAGACTGATTTAGCCAGTGATTGAAGACTCCTCAAACTCCACTCTCCTCTTAAATGCAGACACTAACCTTTCTGTATATGTGTTCTTTTGATGAACTTAATGGACTAATGGTGGGTTATTATTTTCAAAACTGCACTTTTTAGGGTATGCAAAGCTAGTATGTACTAGCCTGAAATCTTAATCTTATATCACAGCATACACGGAACACAACAGACGCAAAACTGCTTACACAATAGCTTTCAGTGTTGCACAGTGGTTTTTGACGATCAAAGAGTCTATTTACAAGACATTTGGGTTATTCCTATAAATGTACCTTCTTCCAGCTGCCATAGGAGCTGCTTCATTAATTTATACCTTTCATCCCTTGTTTCCAAACTCTGGTCCCTGAGGTCAATAGAAGACACACCTTTTTTTAAGAATGGGCTTTTTTTCTGTGGTTGAGGCAAACTATCTCAATCTGTCAAATATAAACCATATATGCAAGTGGGGACAGTTAATGGTTTTCCACTTTCATAAGTTCTCCTGGTGCTAGCTTATTGTATTTTGAAGTGGTAAGCAATGTAGAGGTAGACATCTGTCATGTTTTGTTCCATCTAACCTCCAACTGAGGAGCTTTTGGTGTGTACAATCCAGAGTGGATTAGATTAGTATTGAAGGAGGAAGTGTCTTCCAAAACATTTGCCACGATCATTCCCGACAGCATTCAAGACACTGCCAAATTACTGGAATTGATTTGTGAAGGATATTCTGCAGGAAAAAAAAATCATGTGGCCCTGATAAACATTCTCTCAGTGGGACAATAACTCATACTTGAGGAAAACACAAACATATGCTCATTGGACTGGTGGTTAAAATAACCGATCACTGCTTCCAGTGTTAAAATCAACATCCTCTGCTTCAAAAATTAATCTTATCTGAATGAGAACATGAAAGCAATTGATACTGAGAATAAATGATGGGTTAGTGTGAGCTGGAATTAATTACAATAAAGTAATTCATGTTTCAGATGTAGCCTAAGATAAATGATGTTAAACAACATTTACTAAAGCTGTTGTCCTTTTCTTTATTTCTCTTTTCTTCCAAACTCAGGTCCCTGTTAGGCTGGATGAGATGAGATCCCTATGTAGTGGTCGTCATGGCAACTTGTGACTCTCCCCCTATGGTGTCGTCACGGCAGCAGGAACATGGTGGCCAAAGGCTGGACGCTGCTGCTGAGGACAACTCCCTCATGGCCATGGAGACCAGTGTCGCTAACAGAAACAACGCCAACAACAACAACCAATCATCACCTGCCGCCGTTAGAGAGCCAGGGAATGGCCTTGGACAGCCTGTTGTGACCCCGCTGACGTCCACTGTTACCCCCACCACTGTCAGTGCAACCACCGACCCTCTAACTGAACAGAGTCGGAGAGAAAGCTTTACTACCAGTAACAAAGGGAGTGTTGCTGGGACTTTACCAGGAGTAGGAGGAGGAGCAGTTTTGGGTTCGGACTGTTCTGCCCCAGCCACTTCTCCTGTGGCGCCGGCAAAGGAGATCCCCTGCAACGAATGTTCTAATTCCTTCTCCAGTTTACAAAAATACATGGAGCACCACTGCCCCAATGCCCGTCTGCCTACCACTGGAGGTCACGAGGAGGGTGAAGAGGTTGAAGGGATGGTAGGGGAGGAGAGTGAAGATGAAGGAGAGCGTGAGTTGGGTGGTGCAGAAGTGGGGGAAATGAACAGTGAGGTGGAAATGGAAGAGGAGGATAGCGATGTGGAGAATCTGTGTGGTGATATCATCTACCAGCCCGATGGCTCTGCCTTCATCCTGGAGGACTCCAAAGAGCAGCGTGGCAACCAGGGGGGGCTCTCTGGGGCTCTTCAATTCAGGGGCCTGCTGTCCCCCCAAACCTTCCCCAGTGTCCAGGCCAGCAGTGGCCAGAGTGGCCTGAGCCCAGGGGGGGAGCGGTTGGAGCAGCCCGCTGCACCCATGTCCTTCTATCCCCAGATCATAAACACCTTCCACATCGCCTCATCCCTGGGGACTAATTCCCTAGTGGCTGACCACCCCTCCTTCCCAAATACCTCAGCTGGAGGGCTGGTGGGCGCTGGTCCCATGTTGCACAGTTTCCGTGTCTATGACCTCCGCCACAAGAATGACAAAGACTATCTTACAGCGGATGGTGCAGCCAAAAACTCCTGTGTGTCCAAAGATGTCCCTAACAATGTGGACTTGTCCAAGTTTGAGGGCTGCGTTGCTGATGGGCGGCGGAAGCCTGTGCTGATGTGTTTCCTGTGCAAGCTGTCTTTTGGCTACAGCCGTTCCTTCGTGACACATGCTGTCCATGACCACCGTATGACCCTGAATGATCAGGAGCAGAAACTGCTGAGCAACAAGCATGTCTCTGCCATCATCCAGGGCATCGGCAAGGACAAAGAACCTCTTATAAGCTTTCTGGAACCAAAAAAACCCCCCAACTCTGTGCTACCCCACTTTCCTACACCTGCCAACTTCCTAGGGCCAGACACGGGGCTCCGTGGATTGTGGAATGCTTTCCACAGTAGTGGGGAGAATGCAGATTCCCTTCAGGCAGGATTTGCCTTCCTGAAGGGCAGTGCCAGCAGCTCCTCCAATGACCAAACCCCCAGAACCCAAACCATGCCAAAGGCTGAGACCAACCCAAACCTCGGGGGAGGGGCTGGTGCCCACAGAACCTCCAGCGGTTCTGCTGCTGCTGCCACTGGTGGTAACCTGGAAGGTCAGAACTCTGATAGTGACTGCAAAGGCCACGTTAGGGACACATGCACTTTGCAACCCAATGGGCCGGACCTGAGCCAGTACTCGCCTATCAAGCGGGAGCCCGGTGTAGTGGGAGGAGAAAGTCCAGAGCAGGATGAGGATGCTTACTCCAACGGTGGTGGAGTAGAAATGGAGGCAGATGAGGAGGAGGAGCGGGCCATGAACATGGCCATGACAGGCCAGCGGGCCGACAGCACCAGTAGCAAAGATTTCCCTCTCTTAAACCAAAGTATTTCCCCCCTTTCCAACAGTGTGCTAAAGTATAATATTGACAGCAAAGGCCCTGCCTCAACCTCCTCTTCCTCCCTGCCTGTATGTGAGAAGCTGGAGATGGAGAAGAGCCGCCTGTCCACAGCCCTGGCAGCTGCCAGAGAGCGGGAGAGCAGCAACGATTCAACCAGTGAAGCCCTGGCAGGACGTGATGGGTCATCGCCATCCTCCCACCCCCTTGATATGATGATGTTGCGCAGAGATGATGAGAGTCCGGGGCCTCTGTATCAACACACAGGAAATCCAAGTACACCTGGAACTCCAGGGACACCTGGTACTCCTGGTCCAGGTGAAGGATCACCTGGTAGTGGGGTGGAGTGCCCAAAGTGTGACACAGTCTTGGGATCCTCACGGTCACTGGGAGGGCATATGACGATGATGCATTCACGCAACTCCTGCAAGACGCTGAAGTGTCCCAAGTGTAACTGGCACTACAAGTATCAGCAGACGCTGGATGCTCATATGAAGGAGAAACATCCAGAGTCTGGTGGATCGTGTGTGTACTGCCGCACAGGACAGCCTCATCCTCGTTTAGCCAGGGGCGAAAGCTATACCTGTGGATACAAGCCTTTCCGCTGTGAGGTCTGTCCATCAAATTTTCTATGGATTTTGTTTGAAAATATTAATTCAATGTCAAGGCAGAAAAAAATTCAATATGTTTGTCTTCCTCATTGTGTCAACAGCTTTCAAGTTTAATTCTTCTTATGATATTTGTTAAAAATGCATATAACATTTATCATGTATCACTGTATTAATTCTTACCCTTTAGGTATGCAACTACTCAACCACCACCAAAGGCAACCTTAGCATCCACATGCAGTCGGACAAGCATCTGAACAACGTACAAACGCTCCAGAATGGTGGCAGTGAGACACAATACAACCACAACCATGCCAATCCTGTGCCCAGTGCCAGCCTTGGTGGAGGCTGTGGTGCACCCTCGCCATCCAAACCCAAACAGAAGCCCACTTGGCGCTGCGAGGTAATGAAACAAACAAAGAATGTGGCAGCAACATACCAATTTGCTTGTTGCAAATTGTCTACACAATGAGCCAGTTATACCACTCTGCGTCACTGTGTCTATTATTTTTCTTGGCCACATCATCTGACCCCTGGTCATTATAAAACTGATTTTCTCACACATTCTAGCATTATACGCAAGTATTGCAGAAACCCTAAGAAATTTCATGATTATGGATGCATTACTAAAATGCCAACATCAGTGTTATTTTGTGGATTAGGTATTAAGATGTTTTTATCATAGTCCCTGCTGTTAAAGTAATGCTGTTATTTGTAATATATGAAAGTAAATGATAAATAAACTATAGTTTTAATAAATAATTGTAGTTATTCATTATATTTTCTATTTAAGTGGAATATAATGCTGTGAAAATGATGATGAACAAGTTCAGATGCTCACATTTAATTCACCCCACCTTGCTCCAATAGGTGTGTGACTATGAGACCAACGTGGCAAGGAATTTGCGAATCCATATGACCAGTGAGAAACACATGCACAACATGATGCTGCTGCAGCAGAACATGAAGCAGATCCAACACAGCCTCCATCTGGGCCTGGCCCCAGCCGAGGCAGAGCTCTACCAGTACTACCTGGCTCAAAACATGGGCCTGGCAGGCGTGAAGCTGGAGAGCCCGGCCGGCAGCAGTGGCCCAGATGCCCAGATGATGATTAACCCATTCCAGCTAGATCCGGCGACCGCGGCTGCTCTTGGATCGGGTCTCGGTGAGTTATACTATAACTTAAATGAAACACAAGGAAGCATATGTCTGACAAGTTTTACATACTAAGATTGTGACAAAGATAATAAAAATAGGGTAGTTTCTAATTTTTTTGCCCTCAAGTTTTTTCCTTTTTTTCTTTTCTTGTGCTCATCTTTCACTTAGTCACTTTTATCTCTTTCATCACATGTATCTGGGTATTGTTTTTATCTTTGTGCCTTTTCTTCATCGCTCTCCATTTTTCTCCCTGCCCTCTCACCTTCTCCTTTTCTGCGCCCATCCTCGCCCCCACTGCACCATCGCTGTCTCTTTCTCTTTCCCTCTTATCTCCGCTCTCATATTGTCCCTCTGTCATTGTCTCCTTTCTTTGACCCCTCTCACTGATTAAAAAATGATTATGAGACGCCACATGAGAATTATTCTTAATCTTTCAATTGTAATTTTCTTAAGTCAGCTTAATCCCTCCCCCCCATACACACCCCACCCTACCTTCACTCACCCTGGAGAGAGCACACACACACACACACACACGCACACACACACACACACACACACACACACACACACACACACACACACACACACATATATACACACACACTCTCTCACACAGCAGGAAGCGGATTCCCGTAGGAGTGAGGGAGATTTAACAATGACCCTGCAGTGTTACACACCCACTCCCTCCTCTAGTGTGGAGGTCACAGCCCAGCCAGCAGATGTACTCGCAGTGAATTACACTCATAACACACAGCTCCCCATAGTGAGTGCAGCTGTACATAGGTTTAGATGGTGTAAGCAGAATATTTACACAGTGTATTCAAATACTCTCACACACAAAATGCATGAACAGATACATGTTCACATGCTTATATGCAGAGACACAGTGTCAGATGTGCGCCAGATTTGTTGCACACGGTTCGCATCCATGTTCTGGACCCAATATACAAACACACATTTAGTCATCCACTAATTGTACTAACTAGCTGCAAAAAAAAATGTGGCTGTTAAATCCTCTGTTCTCCAAACATGGAAATATTATCCAGAAAAAAAAGACACGTTGAGCTCCTGGTATCTTGCACACGGAGACAATGAAGGGATCAAACGAAAGAGTTAATTACATTTGTATGAATAGCAGATCTGTTTTTTTTAGTCGGGGGGGTGGGTGGAGAGAAGAAAAGAGAGAAAACGTGTGTAATGCATTGATCAGCTTTTTCAAATCTGTGTGTCAATGGGAGAAAAGCCTGGAGCTCTGAAACCGACGTCCCACCATCGCTGAGAGCAGTAATTAAAGCTACCTGATGAGCGAGTTAGCAAGTTGAAAAGGATGATTGTAATTGATCCCGATTCAATCCTATTAGGGTTTTTTATAGACAAGACTTTGTAAGGAGCCCTAGTCCTCTGTGCAGCTTTATTTTATCAAATCCTTTTGTGTGAGGGAGGCCTGCATAGAAGACTCACTTTTCTCTCCACACTTAATTTCATTAAATAAAAAGAGCCTTTTCTCTTTCTCTCCATCCTTTATCCCTCTCCATGCACGTGAGCCTTTCGTTTTCACCAGAGCTTCGTCTCTCTGTCATACCTCTTTGTTTTTATGTACCACTCGTCTTGCTGTACATACCGCCTGCTTTTCTATCTGACATGTTATCCCTCTGTGCTTCCATGTGTGTAATTCTTCTTGAGGCCCTACCATTTAAACTCCTTTCTGTCCCCCTTTTTTGCTTTCACTGTCTAACTTCTTTTTTTTTCTTTCGCTCATTTTCTCCGCAGTGAATAGCGACCTGTCAGCTGAGCTGCGTCTTGCCAGTGGTCAACTGATGGCAGATGACCTGTCCTTGGTGTCCTCGGGCGGATTGGGGGGCATGTCCTCGTCAGACCCCTCCTTGTCCTCCCTGTCGCCGCCCATCAACGACCCCTCGCTGCGCCTCTACCAGTGCGCCGTGTGCAACTGCTACTCCACAGACAGCCTGGAGGCCCTCAACGCCCACGTCATCGCCGAGCGCGCCTTGCCCGAAGAGGAGTGGCGCTGCGTGGTGGGCGACGTCTACCAGTGCAAGCTCTGCAGCTACAACACGCAGCTCAAGGCCAACTTTCAGCTGCACTGCAAGACAGACAAGCACATGCAGAAGCACCAGCTGGTGGCCCACATCAAGGAGGGAGGCAAAGCCAACCAGTGGAGATTAAAGTGTGTGGCCATTGGCAACCCGGTGCACCTCAAGTGCAACGCCTGTGACTACTACAGCAACAGCGTGGATAAACTGAGGCTACATGCCACCAACCAGAGGCACGAGGCCGCCATTCGTCTCTACAAGGTAAAAAAATCCAACATTTACCGTTTGCGAGTGTCCTGCAGAAACATTACTTCTCTCGATTGTTGGAGAAAAAAATGTGAGGAAGGAAATCCAAAGATATTTTGAGGTTAATTGTTTTTGTAGGACACTGGCATCATATAAATACGGCACAATGCAGTTCTTACAGTTTATACATCTGATGGGAGCAACACTGATTTCAGATTCAGAAAGATGATACGTGTTTTTGTTTACAAAGAATTTTCCTCCATCCTCTTAACCACAGCCTCACATGGATTAACAACAAAAAAGTTCCCATGAAAATGGAACGAAAGAGATGGGGGGGAAAAGGTCACCGTACCCAGGATGATTTTCATCAGCTATGGGTATATTATCTGCCTGTGACCGGCTGGCACTCCCATTAATTATACACAAGTCACGTACTGTCAGCAAGGTTCAGATGTCTTGCAGTTTTGATTTTCTTCAGCTGCTTGTTATTCAAGCTGTAAATAATTCTGGAATAATTCAAGAATTTGTTTTCAGGATAAGGGTGTGGACGCGTATTAAGAACTGTTGTGTGGAACAGTTGTAGAATGAAAGTGGATCCCACCACATTCTATACATATAACTTTTGATAGTTCAGTAAGGCACAGATACACACATACAATATTGTTTGTAGCTGATGTTTCCGCACGCCCACATATTGTTAACATTATCATTCATGTACACAGAGATACAGCATTTGATAAGCACTCCTGTTTTTTAGGCTGCTAGCTGAACCATTTTTTCCTTGGTCGTGACTTGTGGTAGGGTTTACACACCGGTTGCCCGTCAGAGCAGCAAACTATCACATGCGTCTCTTACTTAACTAATTAAACTCTTCACACTCTGAGAAATACACTGATTCTTGTGGAGAAATCCCAACACAGCCGATATTTGGCATCTCCCTTTCCTCCCATATATTTAAGGTGATTTAGTTTGTCAGACGTCTCCTTCAGCTTAATAGGATGCTGTTACATTTCCGAGGCCTTGACCTACAGGACAGGATCAAGTGCATTACATTAATGAGGATTTCTTTACTACTGTATGCAACATTTGGCTGTGGTAGGTGTTTGTGTGTGTTTGTGTGTGTGTGTGTGTGTGTGTG